GTTAATATAGAAATAGTTGTGCGGTTATAGTCCACTTATTAGGTTATTTGGTTCGCAATGTTTACATTATTACAATATTACGTGTATTACGTATAATATGTAGGCGTTAATTACGGAAAACAGCATTTTAGCTAAAAAAAACTTAAAAACAATTTCCAAAATATCTTATAATATTATTTATTTTCTAGCTCGTAAAACGATTTTCAAAAATAATTTGAACCTATATGTCCTGCAAGCTTTACAGTTTATTATTATGCCCGACTATTTTATATTAGGTACTCTTTATTTTTTAACAAACCATTTTATAATTCATCTTAGTACCAACTATGTCATATTATTATGTTCCTAGGACTTAACTCTCTAATATTTTTTTTTACTTCTTTGCAATGACAGAGATCACAAAATTATTAATTCTGAACGMAAATTTACGACGTGACAAACCATGTTTATCTAGACGTATTTTTGTCGTTGAGTTATTACTTTTTTTAAACTATCATAGCTAAAATTCAAAATCAATGATATCGAAAACGAGATTATAGTTGTTCGAACGGTTTTTCGTGGTTTTAAGAGACGACGTGAGAAATGAGTTGCTTCACRAGCATCATTGTATAATATATATGTACATATAATATTGTTTATGGTGATTATTATTTGTTTTCCAAACCACTTTTTTTTTGCGAGTTTCCCATACCAATTTTAAACGTATCGAAAAAGCAAGAACAGAAAGTTATCCCAAACGATTTACATTTTGTCTGTCGCGTTTAAAAACTAAAAACGCTCTGAGGTCGGCTACATAATCCGCCATCTGCAGCAGTCATCCATCGGTCGGATTTGTCGGAAACCGAAATGACATTGWTAATATCTCCCAAAGCGAATTAAAATAATAATACCACAAATAAAATAAAAGCCGTCTTTTCGTATACGGACGGTGTGTGATCGTCGCGTCGTGACCGTCGTTCCGTCTAGACTAGATCGAGCGCGCGGCGCAAACTGGTTTATCCGTAAGTAGGTATAGGTATAGGGTACTGTAATATTTCGTCAATGAGATTTAAAACTATTCGAAAATGGCATCGAAAAAAATGTTAAAAACCAGTCGGAACGTTACAAGCGAAAGAATTAATATATTAATATATATTAAATAAATGGCATAGGTATTTTCGCCGTCGTTTATACAGTATTGTTCCTGCTCAGCTGTCATAATTTGTGTTTCTACGTTTCATTTTTTGTTTTTTTTTGTCTCCTGTCCGTTCCGCGCAAAATCCTTGGTGACAATTAGCGCGCAGGATATTCGGTGTCATAGTGTCATACATTACGGCAAACATGTTTACAGAAACACAATCTCCCAAGGACATCCGCACGTTTCCTATAACAGTGTTCGTATAATATAATATTATGTATACACTCGCGCGCGCGTGTGTGTGTGTCTATGTGTATGTGTGAGTGTTATATTATGGGTATAGTTTATAGGTTCAATGCGTTTAAATTAAATAATTTTTAATCACTTAACGACTTGTCAATCTCCGCGGTAGGTACCTATTGGTAAACACACCTCCGCGATGGTATTGTTTTTTTTTTCATCGAAAACTAACTATTTTTTTCTTATCAAACACATAATATTAGGCACGCGTTCACGACCAACGTTTTGAGTGCAATACAGGCGTTTTACTTGAGTATACAGCCTGCTTGGCGGTCCTATCTCGATATAGAATGCCAGTGATTCAT